GAATATCTAGAAACCTTGGTACTAGTGATGAGTATACCCCTAAAATGTTCAGAAGTTTGGTATGGACGAAAACTTTGGAACAGGTTCTTGAGAGAGAATTAGTACAACTTCTAGCTTCTAGCAGACACGGTCCAAGAATCTTCTCCCATGGTATTTTGACAAAGTTTGGTTTTTAAATGACGTTTCAAATCAGTCTTTATTTTATCCAAACCATGATACTCAGTAACACTGAGAGATACTGTTAATCCCCATAAATAGCTCTCCTGGGGTAACTCAAAGTTATCATACTATTACTGAAGTATGAAATATCTTAGCTCCCATATTATGAAAATCCTATAGCACAGGGGACAATAGTACAGACACAGTCTAGAATGGATCAGGGTAGAATCCAGGGTCAGAGCATCAATGATCATCAGGCAGCAGAGCATGTAAGCTCACTGCTATCAGTACAGTGCCCAAGAAGGAGAAGGTGCATTCTGATTCTCTGGTGTCCTCCTTAATTTGCAACATGAACCTAAAAAAGGGACAGGCAATAGCTTGGAGCAATGGGACGGACCCAGCTGGTGTGACTAGCATGCATAGTGACTGCTCTGGTGGACTTGGAAACAACATAGTTTTAATCCACTATTGCATAATATTTATAGTGAAAAGGTGGATGTGCCCTTGCAGTAACTTTTGAATAAATAATTATTTAGTCATTACAGTGGTAGGTTTTCTTATATTAATTAGAGCTCATTTGTAATGTTTTATTTCCTTTCCAGTTTAGAAATATCTCAACCTGACTGTTTTAGATGTTAGAAGAGAATGAGGTAAAACCTTTCTGGGAAAGAAACAGAAATGGATTAAAATTTGCTTTAATAAGTAAATGTTATATTTTGTTTTAAAAATATGGAAAGATGTGGGATTCACAACCCAGGAAGCTGAAGTCTTCTGTATAAGTACAAGTGTGGAAAGTGGCAGTGAATGTTTCCTTGTATCATCCTGTGAATGAGCCTTAATCCTGGCCTGTTGGGCTCTATCTGTATGAGTGAGAGGGGAAGAGTTCAGACTCCACACTCGTTCAATCCTTAGTCACACTGCTGAGGCTGCCTGCAAGGCTGGTCGTTCATGTCAGTTGTGGTTTTATTTTTTTCTCAAAAGTATTTAAATACTTACTATACAAAATTCAAAATATTGAGTGGGATCCTCAAATGGTGTCAATTAACCTAATTCCATTGACATCCATAGAGCTAGGCCAATTTACATCAGCTGAGAATCTGGCCCCTAGAGTTCAACTGTACCTGTCCTTATGCTGGTGTATGAGGGAGCAGGGAGTGGGAGTCCTTCTTTTAATGGAAGTTGGTCTGAGCCCTCAAAGGGCATAGAGAGACACAGGGAAAGGGCAGGGCCATGGCCTGAACCCCTTCCACACTGGCTAGCAGAGCTTGCTGGGAGCAGAAAGGAGCAAGAGCTGAAAGGATAGTAATGTTAGTGCTGTAGCATGCATTCTCTGAGATTCTCTATAGCTGGGATTCCTCCTGGCATTTCCTAGTACGGTTTACATCTTTCAGTGTGTGTGCTGGCTTAAATTACACAATTTGCATATAATATTGACTTGTGATAGAAGTAAAGTATATAGCTACAGTTACACTGAAGCATATTAAGTATACTGTATTGCACAACAGCATGGGTATCCAATCCCAAATCCATAGTCCTACATTACTCTCTGAATCGCCTAACTCAATCACACTCCTAACTTATGTTTTCTGTCACTGCACTGCTATGTATTTTGAGGTGGAGCTGACATCAATTTATATTATAACATTGCCAAAATACAACGCCAAACTCATCCATTTTATTCTCATCCACAACAACCTCACATTTAACAATAAACCCTTTGTCCAAACCATGGGAACAGACAGGAGTACTAGGATGGTGCCCTAATATGCCATCCTCTTCATAACCACCTCAAGGAAGAATTTCTGGGAAAATGCACCATCAACCAATGATATACCTGAGATACATTGATGATATTTTCATCCTCTGGACAGGCAACCTAAACTCCTTCACAGATTTCCACAACTTCAACCATCACCACCCATCCATCAAACTCCCACACCAGCATCAACTTCCTAGATACCACAATTATCTTAAACAATGGAACAATGCAGACAGCTGTATAGAAGAAACCCACCAATCATGGCACTTACCTCCACAGCTCCAGCAACCACCCCAAACAGACCAAGAAAAAAACCCAAAACTTTGCTAAGCTCATCATCAGAAGCAAGCTCCCCACCAACTGGGACACACCAACTCAAAGCAGCACCAGACCCTGCCTGAAGAACAGATGCAAAACCTGTGAACATATCTCCATGACTACAATGACCAATAGCCCCCACATCACACCTTTCATGGTTCCTGGGTCCCACGCATGTTTATCACATCACATGGGGTACCTCAGTAACAACTATGCGGATGAAACCAGACAATCACTATGCTCTCAAATGAACTCATACAGAAAAATGATAAAAGTCAAAAAACCACAGGCAAACATTTTTCACAAAGCGATCACTCCATATCTGATCTTTCAATACTTGTCCTCAAACGAAACCTGCACAACACCTTCAAAAGGCAAGACTGGGAATTTACATTCATAACTCTCCTAAACACCAAAATCCATGGACTTAACAGGAACAGGACTTATAGCTCTTTACAACAATTTGTAACACACCACACTGCCTGCTACTCTTATTTGCCCACTTCAAACCCTTTCTGTATAACAATCTAGCCCCCACTGCCAACTTCATTTCAACTGTCCAACTCAAATGTGTTACCCCTTCTGCTTAACAAGCTGTCCCAATGTGTATTTAGTTCAGATACTCCACTTCCTTCCCCAGACCTGAAGAAAAGCTTCTGTGTAGCTTGAAAACTTGTACCTTCTGTGACGGGATTATCCCCCACTTCGGGGTGCCATCTGATATACTGGGGTACCACTGAGCTCGCATGTTCCACCAGTCTGGGCTCCCTTACACTGTCCTGCTGAGCCAGGCTCTCAAGCCTCCTCCAGCACACACACAGGTAGGGCCACACTCAGCTGCAGAAAGACACAGACACAGAAATCAGCTCTGCATGGGAAGACTCAGCTAGGGAATTGCCCATCACTGAAGTGCACACGCCCTCTGGGGTGCAAATCCAGAACTGTATTGACTTGCACTGCACAGAGAACTGTACAGCGTAAGCTCATGAAATTCGCCCCCTCCGTCAATGTGGAGCTTTCCCTCCCCCCACCAGTTATGAATTCCACAAACTGGTTTTAGAGAAAACAAAAACAAATCTATTAACTACAAAAGATATATTTTAAGTGATTATAAGGGATAGCAAACAGATCAAAGCAGATTACTGAGCAAATAAAACAAACACACAAACTAAGCTTAATACACTAAATAAACTAGCTACAAGTAGTAATTTCTCATTCTAAGTGTTGTTTTTAGCAGATTGCCGTGGTTCTTGAAGACAGGCTGCTCTTGCTTGCAGCTTAAAACTCTAGGTATTTCTTTCACAGGCCAGACACTTTTTCCAGCCTGGGCTCAGTCCTTCCCCCTCCCCCGACCTTGTCTTTGTTTCTTAGATGTTTCCAGCAGTCATCCTGGGCGGGGATTCAGTGAAGAATGAACCCCATCATCTCACTCCCCTGTCTTAAATAGGATTTACATATGGCAGGAATCCTTTGTTTTCCAGTGTGGTTCCCCCCTTCCCCAAGTGGAAAAATACTGGTATTCTATCATGGAGTCCAGTACCAGGTGATGTGATCACATGGCCCTGCAGTGTCAAAGCAGACATGAGTCAAAGGCTGTTTGAAGCACCCCAGGAAGCTTCTCAGGAAGGTGGGAGATTAGCATCTTCAAAGACCTACTGTCCTCCCTAGTGGTTCAGTGACTTGTCCCCCGCTAACCAGCCAGACTGATTGTATTTTGTCTGGTGGTTGTTCCCCAGGTGCAAATACTTTTGTAGTACAGATGTATAATCAATATTCCTAACTTTAGATACAAAAATGATACATGCATACAAATAGGATAATAATATTCACTAAATCATAACCTTTCCAATGATACCTCACAAGACCAATCTTGCATAAAATATATTTTAGATATGCTATAGTCATATTATAACAATATTTCTATGAAGTATATGGGGCATAGTGTCACACCTTCCACCAACAGAAGTTCATCCAATAAAAAAACTACCTCACCTACTTTGTCTTTATCAAATTTATAAACCAGTAACAGCAGGCCCACATACTTATAAACAAATAACAACTTGTATAAACTGCCAAAAGCCGGTAGCATTTCAATATTCATACCTAGTGAGTACTATGTAACATCTCTGTCTAAGGAGATACTTAAATTACTAGTCCTAACAATATTAGCTAAAAAAACCACACCTGCTGAATTTCACATTTTAAATCCAATACAATGAAATAGCTCAAGTTTTCTTATACCTAGGACACTTATCTAGTGCTGAAAATCATGAAAAGGCAATAAAAGATTAGGAGAAGCAAAACAAATTTCAGATCAACATGAAGATAAAAAAGAACCTAAGTTTCTGCAAAAATACAATTATAAAATCGCAAAAACATACTCTCCTTTGACTGGCCATTCAGAGGACATCTGAGAAGGCTGACAGATTCCAAACTGAAGATGCCTTTAAAATGACATTTTTCTAATTGTCCTGCTCATCCTGAAAAGTCTCTAATCTCTTTAAAATGAAATTATGTTATTACCACCCTACCTTCTCTGCGGGCTAATCTGCCTAGGTTTTTGGGCAGACTTATGGTCTTTGATATTGCAAGTGCTTGTACTTCACACCAATGGGCAGACTTAGATCTGTTTCCTATCTTGCCACGTCGGGACTTTCTTATTTGAGCTCCCAATGCTCAACAGCCCTTGTGATTTTAAATGAGAGATGTGCACAAAATGAGCAATATTTTGCAATAACAATTATTGTTATATTAAATCACTTACTCTTGATCCCTTTTCAGGAAAGCACTGGCAAACCGAACAATCTTGTCCTCCACATGGACCAATATATGAATATTTGCCCTAAAAATTAAGAGGTTATTAGTTTATTTATATACAGTATACTTGTTATCCAATATAACACATTTTAATGAAACAAAGAACATCAATGAACAGCTCAAGACTTCATGGAAGTAGAGATGTAAACCATAATATAAAGAAGAAACTATTATTTAATTATGTTAACCAATGCTAATAATTTAATGTAGATTCCTGGATTCTATACAAACATTTTTTCAAAAAAAGCTGTCATTAATTCTTAAATAACAGAGAAAAAATGGAGCTCTCTCATAGGTCCAAATGTCTTACTAGCTGATTTTGATACCCAACCTCTATAGACACAATTCAGCTACTCTGATGTTATGTCAACAGTGATTTACGAATGCACAAAAACAAAGTTTAGGAACAATCTTGAGAATGTGGTATTGAATGACATATTAAAGAAACGATATTTTTGATCTTGGGGAAGACCACCACTACTTTAGATTCTGCAGTGTTATAACTGGGATCTAGCACAACCAAGAACAGGAAAAGATAAATGTTTTCATAGCAGAATAGAAATAGGAGAAGCAGTATGGTCTGGTGGATAGGGCATTGTACTGGAAATCAAGAGCCCTGGATTCTAATCCCAACTCCACCACTGACTTGCTGTGTGACCTCCAGCAAGTAACTTCACCTTTTTGTGCCTCTGTTTCCCCTCTCGCTTTCTCCATTTTTTTAATGTAAACTGTAAGCTTTTTGGGTCAGGGTCCACCTCTTACCATGAGTTTATACAGTGCCTAGGGAAAGGGGGCTGTGTTCTCAATCAAAGCCTCTAGGCACTACAGTAATTCAAATAAATAATCTTTAAAATGCTGTAGCTTACCAAATTTCAAAGCAAGCCTTTCCCATCATTAGATAGGAGACTAACTAGAGTGAGCAGTTCAGTACAGCTTCTGTACTGTACAACAGATTACTCTTCCCTAACATGGTTGGTGCAAGTAAAGTTTTCTGTAAGACCCACTTCTCTGAAATGTTTACAACATTCACCTATGAGACTGAAGTTTGCCAAGCTTGGTTTCTGCCTGAAGGTGCATTTTATAGTATAGTTGAAAATGCAGAATTATTAAAATGAGCCTCTGGAGAGCTCTATTGTCACAGCCCTTTCTCAGTCATGCAGGGAAGTGTGGAAAAATAAGGCCCCTTTCTCTCCTGCTTGACCCTGCTCTGCCTGTGACTCCAGCCACAGGTGAGAAAGCAGAACCTACTTGCCTGATACTCCCCTGTTAAGCAGGTGGCCAGGAAGTGGTGGAGAGGGGTGGTAAAAGTCCAGGCTCCGCCCCACTATTCATTGGTCAGAGTAGTTGGTTGGCTGCACATAGGGGGGAAATAAAGCCACTCCAGAAAAAGGGGTGAAGAATTTCCTCTCCAGAGCAAAGGGGACTCAGAACCTCAATTAATTCTCCAGCCTGTTTTGAAGGCAATGCAGCTGTGCACTGCCCCTTACATAGGACAGACTGAAGAGTTAAAATCTCACCCAGAACAATTAGCCTGAGTCGACTCTCCCTTAAGTAAAATTCTTTATCTCAATCCAACCATCTGGGTATGAATCCTATTCAAAGCTCTGCTCTCACCAGCATGAAATATTCTCTGCAGGCTGTCATGTGTTGGTGGTTGTGTGGTTCTTTCTCTGCCTACATAAATAAAGAAATCTTGATACGCTACTCTTGCATTGAGTTGAGTGCTGGTTTCAGTAGTGCTTAGTGGCAGCTTGTCCCAGCTTCTGTTTGCAGGTGGAGACACACATGCTTGGAATGGTTTGGCAGAGTGGAACTCTTCTGGGATGTAAAGGCCATTCTCATACAGAGCCAGTCATAGGGTTTGCAGGGACCCAGAGATGTGCAGAGTCCCAGAGAGATCCACACATCATGCATATTGGGTTACTGTATATGGATTTGTGTAACTGTCCATGTTAGGGCCATATCAGAAGAGACAAAGTTTAGAAGTTTTGCTTTTTTTGAGGCTGAGACACAGTCAAACTTTAGTGTATTTGGTGCCAGTTCATTTGACAGAATATGACACAGTCACAAATATGATATGGATGCATTTAGATTAACTTAGAATGTGCCTGTCTATAGCACTTGATTCTTGTGCAAAATTAACAAACCACACAAATGAAAACCAATGTCCATGTGGAAAACCCTCCCAAACTCTTGGGGGCACCCCATTTACCAGAAATGTACTACCCAATTAGAGAGTTTAGAAAAGCAGCAAAATGATCAGGGAGGCAGAAGTAGTAACCTGCAAGGAATTATTAAAAGAGCTAAAACACATAAAGCTAAAGGAGAAGAAGGGGTGTAGGATAGAAGTCTACAAATATTTTAAAGAAGTAAACCTCAAGGAGGGAAAGGAATCACACTAGGGGCGGTGTGACAGGGCACCTGCCCTGCACTGGCCCTGAGAGGGTTAAAACCAGCCTAGGGAGGCTGAGCCGCAGGCAGCCAAAGGAATGGCTGCAGGGGAAACAGCCAATTAGGGCTTTAGGGCAGTGGCTGCAGACAATTAAGGCGGCAGCTGGACCAGCTGATCAGGGCCCAGCTGGCCCATATAAAAGGAAGCTGCAGACCAGTGTGAAAGAGTCTACTGCAGGGAGCCCTAGGGAGAAGACTGGCTTCCTAGAGGGCTCCTGACGGGCTGCCAATGTAACCCACACACCTTGTGGATGTGGTGTTCTGTCCCATCTAGTGGCACCAAGACCACTTAGAGAGATAAAACGAGTCTGCTCTACAACCTTAGCCAACAGCCAGCCAGTTGGCTTTTAGCTCATGGGTAGAGGCTCATGCATTAAACTCCAGAGGTCCCCGGTTGGATCCCACCTGCCGACGACCAAGATCTGTCAGCGTTACACCAGGATTTACAGGTTCAAGGCCCTAGGAAGAGGGCAAAGGGAGTTAGATCCAGAGACAGGAGCAGAAGGAACTGAGGCTGTGGGGATGTGGTTCAGAGAATAAAGACAGTGAGCTGGAAGGAGGAGGCATCAGGAAGCTGCTGTTTGCAGGGTCTGTGGGCTGGGGCCCGAAGTAGTGAGTTCCCCCCCCCCCCCCCGCCACTAGCCAAGCTGCTGTGAGGAGTGGCTGGACTCTTATTGGAGGAGTCCCCCGGAAGGGGGGGAACCAGATGGTGATATGGTTGGAGGACTGTGCCATGAGGCAGACGCCCAGAGGAAGGAGCTGTAACAAGTCTGTAGGTGAGGACAGGAGAGCCACCACCACCCGAGGGCGCACCCGCTGGGACTGAGCTAATTCCCAAAAGGCCCAGCATGAGGCGCCAGTGTGGTGAGTGACCCCGTGACAAGCGGTATCAGGTGATTATTAACTAGGTATAATTGGATGTAATTAAGGAATACAAAATCTATGCTAAATATCAGGAAAAATGTTGCTACAGTAAGTGTTTAGGCCTAGGCCAGTCAAAATTAAAATTTAGGCCAAGCTCTAGAAAGGTATTTAGGCAAGTAGGAATTAAGCACCAATACCTTTGAGGATCTGGGCCTTAAGCACTTTTTTTTTTAAGTGTCTGCACAAAGCAATACTGCATTACATAGAATTGGGGACAGACTGACATAATGGAGCTCCTTCCTTTCTAATAAATATAATCATATTTCTAATATAATAAAAATATAATATAAATACAATTATATTGTTAGTAACAAGGAGGTGAAAGACTTTTTCCATGACGTTGATGTAATGTTGAAAACAAATACACCTCTACCCTGATATAACGCGATCCGATATAACGCGGGTTCGCATACAACGCAGTAAACCTCTAACACGCTGCTCAGAGCAGCGTGTTAAGGGGGCCGGGCTGGGCCCGAGACTGAGGGGTTGGATAAGGGGCAGAGGGTCTCGGGGGTGGTCAGGGGCTCCCCCCCCAGGGTCTGGGAGGCAGGAGCTGTGGGGGGGGCACTTTTGGGGGCCCCTCAGTCCCAGAGTGGCCTGGAGTATTAGCGGGGGGCCGGGAGCAGCCCACTCCACTTCCCTTGCCCCAGCCCCAACTGTGTCACTCAGGGGAGGGGGTTTTGGGGAAGGGATTTCCCCCCCCCCCCCCCCCCCCCCCCCCCCCCCGCGGGGGGGGGGGGGCCCTCCCCCCCCCCCCCTCCTCCCCCCCCCCAGCGACATGGCTGGGGCCGGGGCAAAGAAAGTGGAGCAGGCTGGGGCTGCATCGCTCCACTTCCCGCTGCCGGTGAGTGCGGAGGGCGTCCTTTCCCCAACCTCCCCGCACTCACCGGTGGCGGAAAGCGGAGCACCGCGGCTGGGAGGTGGCGGAGTGGAGCAGGCTGGGGCCACGTTGCTCCACTTCCCGCCGCTGCCGGTGAGTGCCTGTCAGAGGGCAGAGGGTGTGGATATGGGTCGGAGCAGTCAGGGGATAGGGAGCAGGGGGGTTGAGTAGTGGGTGGGGTACAGGGGGTGATTAGGGACAGGGGTCTCTGGAGGGGGTGGTCAGGGAACAGGGGAGGCCAAAGCAAGTTCCATATAATGCGGTCTCACCTATAACACGGTGAGATTTCTTGTCTCCTGAGGACCGCGTTATATCGGGGTAGAGGTGTATGTTTAATAGGAACCTAATAATATATCAGGATGCATACATTCAATTGACTTACAATGTAATAAGTAGAACAAACATGTTCTTTTTAGTTTGTGTCCCAGAATGGCAATTTTTAGGTATTTAATTTTGTGACAACACTGCCGGCAAATGAGCAGTATTAAGTCAACAATTGACTATGCCTATGTAACATGCAGATTAAGAATAACATTTGCAAAGCTGCTTAGGTAATTTGAACACCCAGTTTCCATTAATTTTAACTAGAAATGAGTGTCCAAATGCCATAGGTGGCCTTGAAAAAATAGGCCTAATATTTAAAAGGCTGATAAACTATAATTTAGGTAAATGAATTCAAAAAATGACAGCATGAAATATACTGATTCAGTGCCTGATCCTGATTCCATAGAAATCAGTGTAAGTTTTGCCATTGGTTTCAGTAAGAGAGA